TTTCAGGTAGTAGTGTTCTTATCAAGTATTTTTTGACAGGTAGGTTAGTTAAAGTACCAGAATATGGTATGTGGCCTTTTATAGGTGTGAGAAGTAAATTCTGATATCTATTATAAGTGTATTATATTCTAATGTGTCTAAAGGGTAGGGTGGTAATAATACTAAAATTGATTAGAGGTAAGTGAACTGAAACCTGGTTCTAATTTCGTCCTGGATTACAAGCTAGTACAAGATACAGGTAGGTTAGAGGAACCCTCCAACATAAGGGTAATTATGATATAAAATAAATCAACATCTATGAAACACAGGAAGGGATATAGCGAATATATTGTCGTATTCTTATCTGGTACAAGGTACAGGTAGGTGAAAGAAAGCTTTGAGATCAGGGACATATCTTCAGGTTAAACCTATGTTTTGAATCTCCATAACAGGTAAGGAGTTGCCTAGTAAGATCAGGGTAAGAAATTCAGTATAAAATAAATCAGCATCCATGAATGATAGGTAGGATTATGACAAATATTTTAATGTATTCAAATCTGGTACAGGGTACAGGTAGGTGAGAGAAAGCTCTGAGATCAAGGACATATCTTCATGTTAAACCTATCTTTTGAATCTCCATAACAGGTTAGGAGTTGCCGAGTAAGACCAGGGTAATAATTTCTGTATAAAGTAAATCAGAATCTATGAAAGACAGGTTGGAATAAGACGAATATTTTGTCGTATTCTTATCTGGTACAAGGTACAGGTAGGTGAGAGAAAGCTCTGAGATCAGGGACATATCTTCATGTTTAACCTATCCTTTAAATGTCCATAAAAGGTGAGGAGTTGCCTAGTAAGATCAGGGTAAGAAATTCAGTATAAAATTAATCAGTATCTATGAAAGACAGGTAGGAATATGACGAATATTTTTTCGTATTCTTATCTAGTACAAGGTACAAGTAGGTGAGAGAAAGCTCTGAGATCAGGGGAATATCTACATGTTAAATCGATCATTTGTATCTCCATAACAGGTAAGGAGTTGCCGGGTAAGACCAGGGTAATAATTTCTGTATAAAATAAATCAGAATCTATGGAAGACAGGTTGGAATAAGACGAATATTTTGGCCGTATTCTTATCTGGTACAAGGTACAGGTAGGTGAGAGAAAGCTCTGAGATCAGGGACATATCTTCATGTAAAACCTATCTTTTGAATCTCCATAACAGGTAAGGAGTTGCCGAGTAAGACCAGGGTAATAATTTCTGTATAAAGTAAATCAGAATCTATGAAAGACAGGTTGGAATAAGACGAATATTTTGTCGTATTCTAATCTGGTACAAGGTACAGGTAGGTGAGAGAAAGCTCTGAGATCAGGGACATATCTTCATGTTTAACCTATCCTTTAAATGTCCATAAAAGGTGAGGAGTTGCCTAGTAAGATCAGGGTAAGAAATTCAGTATAAAATTAATCAGCATCTATGAAAGACACGTAGGAATATGACCAATATTTTGGCCGTATTCTTATCTGATACAAGGTACAGGTAGGTGAGAAGAAGCTCGAAGATCAGGGACATATCTTCATGTTAAACCTATCTTTTGAATCTCCATAACAGGTAAGGAGTTGCCAAGTAAGATCAGGGTAATAATTTCAGTATAAAATAAATTAGAATCTATGACAGACAGGTTGGAATAAGACGAATATTTTGTCGTATTCTTATCTGGTACAAGGTACAGGTAGGTGATAGAAAGCTCTGAGATCGGGGACATATCTTCAGGTTAAACTGATCTTTTTAATTTCCGTAAAAGGGAAGGAGTTGCCGAGTTCGATGTCGAATTATTAGCTGGTACAAGCTACAGGTAGGTAGGAAAACCCTTTTAAGATCATGGTAATAATTTCAATCTAAAATAAATCATCAGCAATGAATGACATGTAGGATTATGATTATTTACATCCAAATTAGATGCTTTCTTTTAAAATAATTTGCTGTAAATGAATGCATCATATGAATACCTAATAAACAAGATGTGTTTGTGTAGCACTGATGCCCCCATATGGCAACATAGCAAATATTAAGCTTTTTTTAAATGCAAATTTAATTAATAATTACCAAAAATAAGGTATTCTCAACGGAAAACAATTGTGAAATTTGTGAAAATGTTAAAGGTTTTTTTTATAAGTACAAAAATCTCTAAGGTCAAGGCAAAAATGTCAATGTAATTGGTATCAAAATGAAAGGTCTTGCCACATAGAATTCTTATATAGAGTATAAAAGCCCTAACCCTAACCGGTCAGAAGTTATGACCTAGGTTATTTATTAAAAAGAAGGTCAAACTCCAACGTCAAGGTCAAAGGGTCAATGTTCTTGGTATCCAATGAAGTAACTTCTCACAAGGATTAAATATGTTAAGTATGAAAGCACTAGCCATAATACTTAAAAAGTTATGGTCAATGTTTGCTTTTTTAAAGTAGGTCAATCTTAAAGGTCAAAGGATCAAAATTCTCGGTATCCAATGAATTAACTTCTCACAAAGATCAAGTATTTGAAGTATTTGAAGTATGAAAGTCCTATTCCCTACCGTTCAAAAGTTATAGCCAAGGTTAAAGTTTCTTCACAAGTACGGAAATCTACAAGTTCAAGGTCAAAGGATCAAGGCTGTTGGTATCAAATGAAAGGTCATTCAAAAAAGATTACATATGTGAAGTATAAATGTCTTGGCATCTACTGTTCAAAAGATATGGCCAAAGTAAAAGTTTATAATTTTCATGACAAATGGGTCAAACTGCAAAAAATTAATATAAATAATCAAGAGCTAATATCAGCCTTTCAGTGCTGAAACAATTGTTTAAAAAGGATGACTCAAAGATCTTTAAAATAAAAAGTCGGTGTGACATTCCACCTTAAAGGTTTATGAAGAGTTATCTGCAATTGATGAAAAGAAGAAAAATTATTATTTCTCAAAGTATCTTAACTTGATAAAGATATAGTTTATTCAAATATTTACAAAGATATTTGTTTGCAGATCAAATAACTTTTTTACAATATCTTAAATAAAAACATGTGCAGCCCATAGAACTTCAATTTATGTAAAATTCAAGGTGCAATTAATTGGACAAAAATCAAAGTTTTGTACAATTCTCAGTGAAGCATTATTTGATACCATCTTCAAAATTTTATCAAGATTTAAACTATCAGACCATTCATTTATTAGGTACGTAAAATGGTCGCTATACATTATAACCTAAATGCTTCGGAATTCTCGCGGGGCTGCCCTTCAATACATGGTCATTAGATAAGAAATGAAATCTAGTAATTTGGACTTTATAATTAGTTTAATTATTTTTTTTTTTTTATATTTCAATCATATTTTACAACAAGTATTAAACAAACATCACTGCCCTAAGTGAAGAAATATAAATAAAGTAAGCACAATGTCATATATTTGTACTTTGGATCACATGAGAAAAAAAATTCACTCGAATTATCTAGTGTGAAATATCAGGTATACCAGACCCAGAAAAGTAGTAACTGCCGAATAGCGAGAAATGTAGGATTTGTAGATTTACGTATCCCTTGCTCTATTGCGTTAGGATATGCCTCGTGGGGGAAAAATCTTGAGTTTTGTGAGAAATTAAGTCTTATCGCTAAGCTGGATATTCCTGTGAAACAATACCAGATTTCTTATTAGTGGTTGTTGTATAGGTATAAGTTTCTAATTAGAATAAGAAAATAATTATTTCTATCTCACAACCTCAGTATAATAGTCATTCAATTACACTGGCGGATTAGTTTAGAGGTTAGTGCCCCCCCCCCCCACCCCGGTCCCCTTTTTCTGTCGAATATATACATATGATTTAATAATTCAATAATTTTTAATTTTAATAAAATGTAATTTACCAATCGAATAAATATTATCAAAAATATTTATTATATTTCTGTATGTTTTAATACTGACAAACTCTTAACTCTGATAAACAACAGCATCCCCCCCCCTTTTCCCCTTTCAAGATTCATGGATTCTCCACTGAAATCTGCGTCGCCGTGTGAAACAGTAATAAGAAAGTCTGCTTTCAAGTCGCTGATTTAGGAGATAATCATTGTGTTGCAGGTTTGAATCCATCTGAAGGACGTGGAGACCGGTCCTCCAATGAGACCGTATAAACCGAGGTCCCTTGTCGCTGGCACGAAAAAGATCCCTCACTGTGCAGAGGACCAGGGCCCCCTTTTCTTTACAATATAAGCATAAGATTTAATAATTCAATAATTTTAGTGTGGTTGTGGGCTCCTTAACTCTGACAAACAACCGCTCCACCCCTCCCTGTCGCTGTTGGTGCTGGCACGAAAAAGGTCCTTCACTGTTCAGTGACCCAGAGTGTCGAGCAGCTTTCCAACGGCAATTGTTAGTGTTCCCATGAGTGAAAAATTGGAGCGAGGAACTTATTGCAGCATTTAAACACGTTTGGTTTTCGTTTCTTACAGGACCACATTTAACGATAGATGCCTGTCTCCAGTAGGTAATACCCCCCCCCCCACGCGCATTCTCCATTCACAATACACAGTACCAAACTGCATTAACCGAAATACAAATAAATATATAAAAGGAAAATATATCAAGCACTATACCTCAACTCCTTTTATTTTTCATTAAAATCAATCCACGCTAGTCTATAATTTATCCATAATTTATATTGATAAATTGTTTATATTTACTGACATTTCCATTTTCCAGCATACGGATTTATATATAATAACCCCATTGTAAATTACAGATGAAATAAGAAATAAATTACCAACCGAATATGTATTATATATTATTAAAGAATTTTTATTTTATTTCTGTTTATTTTAATGCATGTGGAATATTCCATGTACGAGTGAATAGGTCTCTAGTGATGACGTATTACGCATCTTATGAACGATAACTCATTATATGAACGATAACTCATGTTCGACTTCTTTTACGCCATATCTTCTAGTCATTACCTTTTTAAAATGGTTATCAATTCCATTCTTTTTTACTATTTTATTGATACCTGAGCGACACAGACGTCTTCCTGATGTTACTTATTCTACTGACAGCATCAGAATGCCAGTGTTGAATATGAGGAAGCTGTTGTAAACTGCAGTCATCCAGTAAGTAGTCAACAGAAGGCTCGGTTACTTGAAGGAATAACTTCACACTGGTTGTACCTATTGAAAGGGCCAATTGAATAAAGTAACGGTTGCAGAGTAATGCATAAAAGAAAGTACTGACCTTATATAAATGCTGGGGAAGTACTAGTACACAGTAGTAGGGATTAAGTTATTTTTTCATGGATAATTTTGATAGGCTGATATTTTATATCGAAATGTTCAAACATTTTTAAGTTACCCTCAAAGTTAGTAATTGTTAAATATGTAATCAACAAAACGAAATTCTTGGCATAATGTCTTAAATATAATGATTACTGATGGTTTTAATTGACAAAATAGCACAATATCTTATAAAGCAGGTTTTAAATAGACACGATAAAATAATAAATAAATATCAATATCAATGCTTTTCAAGAACAATTTCAAAATCTAGTACTAGTACTTTTATATCTAAAAAGGTTAAATCTACGATAATGCAGAGGGAATTTTACTAAGTTTATTTTTTACATACTGTAATAGTTTTTTCGATTTTTTCTCAGAAATTTATGTGTGTTATATATATATATATATATATATATATATATATATATATATATATACATCAACATGAAAATATAACCTTTGACAAAGCTCATTTATAAATGCTTATAATTAAATTTTGAATGTTATGCAGTGAAAAGTAATAATGGAAAAAAAAAATCCCACAAGACAACATATTTCAGGATTTTAATTTGAACATTGATTTCATATACTTTTTATAGTAGGAGAATAAAAACAATATGAATAAACTAGGACTAGTGAGAGTTTTTATCATTCACATTTTTGTAATATCAAATTAAAAATAGGTAAAAGTTTAAATATTGACAGAGAAAATAGAAGTAGCATTACTAACAACTTTATTGTTCAAACTCCAATGAAGAAAATAAGGTATTGAACAGTGATTGATCTATAAAAACAATACAAATCTTTAAACAGGGGATAGGACAAGGAAATTCAGGTGATGGAACCAGGTGCCCAAGAGGAGTAAGCATCCCTGTTGACAGGACACATCGGTTATAAGCCTTATGTATTAAGTAGATAAACAGAACAACTCGTAGTCATATTTTATATAAAATAAAGTCTAACAATTAGCATGAAAGACTTCAGCCAAATACGACTTAAAAATAGGGTTGAATCGTTAACAAGGACATCACCCCGACTATGGAATTTACAAAACTCTTTTTTCAACCCCATTGTTGACATTCCTACAATATCGACATATTCGTCAGTAGCCTTTTTACATTCGTATTTTTTTAAAAATCTATTTAGTAACATTATTTATTTAGTAACATTATTTAATTTTTATCATATATCCTTATGTAAAGAGTATTGTTACTTTATTTGTTTGTAGGAAAATTTAGGTCATAATGTTAAAAAATATTTCTCTTTCAGAGAAGTATAATGAGAAGCATCTAAAAACAACTTCTCTTTCGATAATCTTCAATCCTGTCATCTTGCTTTGATTTTCTCATTAATTTTTACCTGCAGGTACAAAGAAATCGCCGCTTATTTCTGTCCAGCCATATCTCAGTTCTTGATAAGGAAGTACAGCGACATTTATTCCGTGAATTTTCCCTTGAAACATTGAAAAGATAAGGCTGATAACTAATTGTAAATATCTGTTAAACCAGATTAAATTGCATAAGGGAAGAATGTGAGGTAAAGACTAAACTATTTGGCTTTTTTTTGCTTTGACGTTAAAAATAAAAACAGTAAAGAAGATATGGACCCCAAAGTACATACCATACACTGTGTTCTTACTCAGATTACATAACATGTTGCCAAGTTACTTAAGCAGATACCCGCATGTATTAACAATAGGATGTTACCGATACCGTATATACACCATGGTATTTTACTATACACCGTATGTTCCATTAGAACTTACCATGAGTGTTGACTGCAGCCATTAGATCAACCTCTACAGTAGTCACATTGTGTGGCATATCAAGCAGTTTGAAATACATCCTAGCGACATAGTTGTGTCCGGGAGGGACGTGTACGTTGTCCTGGGGTGACGACCAGTTATATTGTCTGAAAGTAATATCGCTTTATAGAAAATATCCATAACATTGCTGGAAAGGCGTTCAATGGAGTATCCCAAAATCTTATCTGAATTTAAATAAGTAAATAAAATTTATCCATAATAATTCTAAAAACGGATTCAATTGAATCTACAAAAAACTAGGTATATTTTACGGGGAAAAATATGAAATCCTCAGATTTAAAATACAATATCTTTAATGAAAAAATGAAAATAAATCCAGAACCGAAAGTTTATCATTCTTCTCATCAAGAGGAGAACTAATTAGGAATCACTGACGAAAACACTTCATTCAAGACTAGATAACCTTGACCTTTGAAATATAACCTTTCTTATAATAAAAAATAGTAGCAGTATTCACTTTTGTATGAAACATGTCTTAAAGTGGGCAAAAATAATACTTGAACAAATGGGCCCTAAGGTCGATAGGAAATGCTTACTCCTCCATAGCACCTGATCCATCCCCAGATGTGTTTAGAGGTGTTTTAGCTCTGGTACCGATTTACATTGCTTTAAAGGACTTTTGAACTTTAAAACTTTTCTCTCCGTATTTCATTTCAGTGTATTACCAATGATCACGCGAGAATTGTCATGTCTGGTAGAAAGGACATTTGGTAAAATTAAGTTTTATTTTACCTTGGTTTAACATATACATGTAAAGCCTTGGGCTAGGTTTATTTTACCTTACTTTATCATATAAAAGGTAGGCTGTTAATAGTAATTTAGAAAAATAAATCTTATTGGAAGGAGGTTGAATAGGAAAATAATTCAGTTTGCCAGCAGCCACCCGTATTCAAAAAATATATATGCACCATTTAGAAGGTCCCATCGAATTATAACCCTCTCGTTGAAAAGTGTTGCGAATTCGTTGGTGAATACAATGACATTTGTATTGTCCCAATGGCTTTTGAGCTTGATCAGTGTTTGTTATTTCATTTTTTTTTTTTTAGAGATTTGTCTCCCAGATAATTTGATGTCCAAGAGCACCTACGATCAATATCAAAAATTAACATGTTATTGACAAATTAATGAGGATAAAATATCAAACATTTGTTTAGAGATCCGGGGTCTGCTCCGAATTTATATTATTTCAGTGGTATTCTGAGCTTGTTTACTGTTCATTAATTTCATATATACGAAGTTAAAGACGAAGAAAGCTTACTTGATTTATATATTCCTTCATAGAAAATATCCATTGATACTGCCAGATCAGTTAAACCTTCCATTTAACTCACCTGTTTATAACTTTGATGGATTTACTCCCATGGTAAACGTCTGCTGAGTATGACGTCATGATACAATCCTCACAAACCCAACTCCCATTAAAACTTGTATTCTCAAAGTCGGCATTGTGAAGATATTCAGTTGCAGCCTCAACGAGAGAGGCGACAAAAGAAAGACCTAACCACAGAGGAAGTGAGTGCATTTTCTGATAATCTAAGAATGACTAGTGTACTATATTTTTACTTCAACCTTTTATCAGATAAAGAAAGGTTCAGTTAGTTTCGTTTGTCTTTTCTGGGCATGGCTTAATATCCAATTTTGAACTTCAATAAAAGCCAACAGAATACAAATATATATAATTAAATAGACCATGCTGCCTACTACATATTGTTTAATAGCCCAATGCTGATTTACACAAAAATAAAGAAATAATTAAAATTTTTCTTTGATCTGTTCTTTAGCCGAATGCAATCTGTATGACGTGATGGTCGTCTGAAAGGAAATCAAAGATAATTATCTATGTCCAGCATCTCATTAAGGAACGATGTATATGCTACATTTTATTTTTATCTATTTATTTTACCCGTTACATGGACTGTGATATCCTTCCCTGCAGAATCTATCACCAGGTTTTCCCGGTGAATTGTATTTCCATTATGCTTAACCAGCAGTTGGTAGTCTCCTTTAAATACACTGGTATGTAACACTTGACCGGAAGTCATTGTATCGGTGTAATCTGTCCACCATGCTTTCTTCACTAAATCTAAATATTTTTGTCCAGCAGCATTTGCCTGTAAAACAATTTGTTTTTCCCTGTAAAAAATATGTCATTGTATTTATTCATTCCCGAAAAGTGTAAGTATAGATTAATGTTCGATCAAACGCTCTAAAGAACTTATGTGAATATAGTTTTCTGATTCTGATGGTGAAATACTGAAAAGATTACATGGTTCGTTGGATTGGCCATTATCAGAACAATACACATGTACGTAGGCAAAAATTGTAGCACTATAAGTACAGACTTTTGAAATCGAATAATCGTGACAAACTGGCACAACACAATTATACTTTACAAAGGATCATTCTCTATAAGGCCGTTTTGCGGCCTACAATGACTTCAAATTTTCAGATTGCATTTTTTCCTTAAACTTTGCACGAATCACTAGGCTTATGTTCCAATTCAATGATAAATATTGGTTGGTTAATGATACAATAGTATTTTTAATGATATAGGGTCCCAAAGTAAGATACTATCGGTCCGAATTAGCATTAGAGTAATGGGAAAACTCAAGAGGGTGGCTGTGTTAGATAACACCCACACATGACATAACCACCTTTAACCAACACCAAAATTTGCATGTAAACTTCTTATAGACATAAAAAGTGACTACCAAATTATGAATTTGGTTAAAGGTGGTTATGACATCTAAATAAAAACTTTTCACTTCATTTTTATGATATTTGCAGAAAAAGCTAAGTACTCACAAGGAATGATATCAGCCTATGTAGATTATTTCTTTTTATGAACTTTTGGTTAGAGTACAATTTTCTATTGATTTACTAAGATTAATATCAGTCATGCATATTTACTTTAAAAAATGTTAACTTTTTACTTAAAAATCTAAAAATCAAAGGACTGAGAAGACTGGATGTCATGAAATTACAAGTGGAGACGTTTCTTTGAAATGTCTGATAAAAATTAAGAAATAAAAACTTTTTATAGGTTATAGTGAATTCATATGAGTTATCTTTTATATTTATAATTATAGTTTAGTATATCTATATATGCTACTTCTTTGAATTCCGTTATGAGTACTGCATGTATTCTTTGTATTTCCTTATGAGTACTGTATATGTTCTAGGAATGATAAAAGCAATCTTGGTTGAAGCGCTAACATGCATTTATTATATGTGTTATAGACTTTTTTTCCTATGGGTACACACATAATTTTTATATGGACACTTCCGTACGAGTATCACGTGATCCATATTTTGTAAACTAGGTCTTAATATTGAGAGGACTGTCTTTTCATCACACTCCTTTGATAGCATCGATATAAGTTACGAGAACAGTAGTCCTGTCTTAGAAAAATAAACTGGTAAAGAGGAGAGAGATTCCTAAATGCAATATGTGATTGATAATTGAATGTTGCTTTACCCCATTTAAGGACTTTTCAACCAGATAAAGAGATCATCCACTTAAGGTCAAGTGTTTATGCATAGTTGCATTACTAACCAACGCCCAACGCAGGACGGGACCTTTTTTATATATAAAAAAAGATAATATCCAAGAGACCCATGACATTTACCTTAAATGCTAAAGACCTAGGCAGGGAACTGTCACTATCCGTGTTAAACAAGTTTTTGACGCTGCACTGGGAAAGAGACTGAATTTAACCTACAGGTTTCAAGATTGGAAAGGCCCATCAAACCCTTAGGGTTCATTTTGTATCTGGGATATTGTAGAACTCCTAAGTCCGTATACTAATATACGGAAACTTTAGAATCTGATATGCATATTTGAAGGAACTGTTAAAATTCTACTCCATTTTATGTTGTGCTGTTAGACACGGGGGGGGGGGGAGGGGGTCAACTTTTATACATGTAAATACATAAAGTTTAGATGGCATTTTTAATTGTATGTATCGTGCAACAAGAGTAATAAAATAAAAGCAAAGCTATTTTACGACGCTATTTCATTTTACTTAGAGATGGATATTTTAATGCAACCGCTCTGAGTTATGTGTATTGACTATTTATACGTATATGGATAGTCAACATGTACTTGCATTGATATTATTAAGCTATTAATTCTTTATTTTTTGCAATTGTTGAATTTCTTTTCTTAATTTTTTATTTAACCACAATCAAAATCCATTAAGTACATTCAACATTTGATACGTAACTTTTAGAGTTCAATAGAAACTTATGAGTTTAGAAACCTCATTTCTAACATGATTATTTTATGCGTAAGATAAGTACCACATCTATAGATATGATATACAATTACAATATAATTATATATGATTTAAAACTTTTCAATAAATTGCCAATCAAACTTTTTTCAGCACCATACCGTGTGAATTTCGTAAAGATTTGCGTTCAAAATATGCAAAATGTGGATGCATCGGAATTCTTGTCATAAAAAATATCTTGAACCTTAAATTTCAAAAATCCTCGAATTTATTACTTAAGTCTTATGTATTTCCGACACAAAGAAACAATTTTTGATAATTTACATTCAGAAACATGCATAGAAACTTGATTTAAATAGACCTACCCTCAATTTTTTTTTACTTACAGCCATTTTTTATCTCTAAATCACGTGACTTAGATGTTTGATGTTGAAAAACAAACATCAAAATCATGAACTGGAATGATTATAGTTATATAAAATCACATTTTAAAGTGATTTTATCGTAGGCCGGAAAATGGCCTTATAGAGAATGAACCTTTGTAGTTTTGTAGCATTAGTTTTGTAGCATTCTGGTTATAAGGATGTTTACAGCCGCACCAGAATTTCCAAAATAATACGAAAGTTCCTGAAAATATTAACTGTTAATGCTGTAATGTATTGTTAAACTTACTTAATAGAGGATAGAGGATACTTTAAACAGTTGGGCATTTTCTTGATAGTTAACCGATAATCAGTCACAAATTACCATCCAAAGTTGATTCATGATGAAATAATCACTGCTATAGAAGATCCCGTAAACAGTGACACATTGGTACTCACTGCTACAGAAGATCCCGTAAACAGTGACACATTGGATACTCACTGCTATAGAAGACCCCGTAAATAGTGACACAATAGATACTCACTGCTATGGAAGATCCCGTAAACAGTGACACATTGGATACTCACTGCTATGGAAGACCCCGAAAACAGTGACACATTGGATACTCACTGCTATGGAAGACCCCGTAAACAGTGACACATTGGATACTCACTGCTATGGAAGACCCCGTAAACAGTGACACATTGGATACTCACTGCTATGGAAGATCCCGTAAACAGTGACACATTGGATACTCACTGCTATGGAAGATCCCGTAAACAGTGACACATTGGATACTCACTGCTATGGAAGATCCCGTAAACAGTGACACATTGGATACTCACTGCTATGGAAGATCCCGTAAACAGTGACACATTGGATACTCACTGCTATAGAAGATCCTGTAAACAGTGACACATTGGGATCATATATTGCTCCGTCCCAGAACCCCCACAACAGAACGCCCTCTACCGCAGGGTGACTAAAATACAGAGTTAGAAGCTCCTCCAAAGCCGCTGCCTTTTTGGTACTGTCGGATTCTAGAATCGTTAGCTCTGTTATCCAGATCTTCAGTCCAGCTTCTGCTACCTTATCCAGTCTGTACTACAAAACACAAAAACCCTCTTTGTCCTTTCTGTATAACAAAGACAAAATATCTTATTATTCATTATACACTATAAAGACAAAATTATCGTGTATACCATGGCATTGGTGAATTTTTAAAGAATATTAGAAAGGATCAGCCATGGCATCGTCTCAAGCCACGGTCCGGAGTCCGCATATAGCTCTCTCCTACCCGTGGCTGCTTGATCACAAAAAGTGTCGTAATCTTGAATATTTACGCCTCTCTATTGTGACGTAATATTCAGTCAGTGTCAAGTTTTGTTTCCATCGTAATCGAAATCAACAACTGACGTCAACAGTATACAAGAAATATTTCCTATACTACGATTGGACATTGAAAGGTCGCGATAAAGTTCATCATCCGACTATGCTTTACTCGCATTGGTCAATATTTTAATGAGTTACGAAGAATTCTCTCCTCGTTCAACCACGGCCAGATGGGAGAAGAGCGGACATTTTGGCCGTGGTTTGCGACGATGCAGCCATGGGTACTTAATGATTTTCTAGTGTGTTTATACAGTATATGCTTGGCTTCAGATATGAGTGCGGTAAGTTAATAGTCATCGCATGTGACATAAAAGCATACCAATACTCACCAGACATTTATTTTTGTTATCCTCTTTTTTGATTTCAAAATACTGAGAAACTGATTATACAATATTTAAAAACGTCAAGTTAACGTACTTAGATATTTGTAAAGAAACAATTTAATTACTACTGAACATTTTGTGAATTTAAGGTACCTTAAGTACATCAAGATTTATCTGAGAGTTCTTAATGTGACTCTGAATACCAATCCCATGCAATGGAACTCTGTCTTTGATTAGCTGTAGTCCCTGGTTTTTCAGAGCCTAAAGGAACAAATAAGTAAGTGTTATCAATACTGTTATCCTTTAAGTCCGAAAGGAAATCGAAATAATTAAACACTTTATCTAACACTTTTTAACTCGGTTGCTTACAATTATTTCTGAATCCTGTCTATGGAGTTCGTTTTACACTAACCGTGGTAAAAAGATTTGAATTCACAATATTGTAGTCATTAAGGAATAGCTTTGTTTGTGGCTGAGCGACATGAAGCCAACTGAACATTTTTTGGATGATATCAGGGTCGCCAGTGTGTTCCTCAAAGTAACGTCCGTGTAATGCTTCGTTATAAACATCCCAGTGATCTAAACTATGTAAGAAAAAAAATGGATTAAATTTTATCAATCTAAAGGCAAAATTGGAATCAAAACAATATAACCTCCTCTTTCTGAGAAAATAAAAGCACCTATAAAAAGGAGCCTACATCATTTGAAAATTTAAAAACTGTTTATTTAGCTTTTTCTGATTCTTTTGTATAATTATAATTATCTAATTAAATAGTAAATACTTGCATGTTTTGGATAAAAAATTTCGTATGAAATTTGAGATTTTAGCTAACCTTTGTATTTTTTTTTGCACTGAAAATGAATCAGCGTTTTAACGAGCTATATGATGTGTTTTTTTGCTTCTAGTTGTAACAGAAAGTCCCAACTTACGTCCCGTTGGTGTTCGATACAACGTCATTGATGTGCCTTTTCATTTCATTGATAAATTCCGTATGGGACTTTCCTGCTAACCACTTTGGTGAATGTCCATCTACCGCCCAAAATACGTTATGTCCCCTGACATGCAATCTAGAAACATTTACATGAAATATGTGGAGATTACAATCATTATTCAATCTTAAAATTCTATTCAAGCGACGCAAATTACGAGGAAAACAAATAAGGATCTAAGAAAAATGGGATAAGATCCCATGGAAGAGTTAGCATCCCCTGCAGACCGGTAACACATGGCGTGTACTCCTACCATGTGAGTATTATTTAAAAGATTAATGACGGTTTCCTTCCAAGAACTGAGAACAAGAATTTAAATAGAAAGAAGAAACTGTTTACCCATGCGATCGTAGTGTCGCTATCGCTCTCACTGCTGTATCAAATTTTGGGTGTCCCTGTAAGTAAAAATTATAAATAAATAATGTTTCCTATTTTTGTGCTCTGAATTCTTTTTGATATTTTGTCCAGCTATAAATCTAACCTCTGTCCATTCAAGGAGTCTCCACTTCAGAGCGTTTTCCAGGACAGCCCAGTTAAAATTGTTATATATAAAGTCCTGATAGGCATGGTGTGCGTCATCAACCAGTAAAGATGCTTTTACTGCTGTACCAAACGGAAAGGCGTGTCTCTGCTGAACAAGCTGTAAAACGTGTCCCGAGCATGAAAACAGTTCTTTGAAGAAATTTTTTTGCAGCTTTAACTAATCTTTTTTTTTTTTAAAAAATTAAGTTTGCAAAGGACTAAAAGTCTTTTGTTCCAGTGCATTAAATGCTCAGCTTTTTTGGTCTTTTTTGTGGACAGGCAATCAGTAAAGAAACAGAAATGGTGCATCGAATTTTAATTTAAAAACAGATATCAAAAAGATTATCTTCTTTCAGACAATATTACTACCTGTATTGATATACCATCAGCGTGTGTTCCGTGCGCCATTCTATAAATATATTTGGAATTTTATCGTCTAAGTTAAAAATTTTGGAATCTATTCTATTGTCTAAGTTAAAAATTCTGGAATCGAATGTGGCCATCAATCGCCGTTATCAAACATTTAATTGATGCCGATACCTGAGCGACACTGACGCCTTCCTGATGTTACTTATTCTACTGACAGCATCAGTATGCCAGTGTTGATTATGAGGAAGCTGTTGTAAACTGCAGTCATCCAGTAAGTAGTCCACAGAAGGCTCGGTTACTTGTAGGAATAACTTCACACTGGTTGAACCTATTGAAAAGTCTAAAAATTATATTAAATTTATGAAATATAATTTTTGTGTTTGTTTTAATATTGACCTATTTTAATATTTTTTTAAGCTGCATATTAGTTTACATATTTTTTTCACTTACTTATTTTATATAAAATTACTTGAAATGAAGCAAAAATCAGTTCCATGCGTAGTCGGCAATACAAACAAGCAAATTCAAAGAATTGTGGTCCCCCGCTTTCGGTGTCTTTGTGGGTGAGATGTTATTTTTATGACATATTGTGTGTAATACGAACATCCTATCATATGTCATTTATTTAGAAAGTAACACTGAAGTTGATTTTTTTTGAAGGATGAAAACCCTAATCCTTACCGTTAAAAGGTTATGACCAAAGTAAAAAGATTTTTAAAAGTAGGTCAACTCCAAGGCCAAGATCAAACGGTCAAAGTTGTTGATATCCAATGAAAGATTTTCTCACAAGGATTACATATGTGAAGTATGAAAGCCCTAGCCCCTACTGTTCAAAATTTATGGTCAAGGTTAAAGTTTTTTTATAAGTACATAAATCTTTAATGTGCGGAGTCATATTTTTTATCTTTATTGAATAACTTACTGAGCCATAATTTACTTTATGCCATATCTGGTAGTAGTCTCCATTCATGAATTCTACTCACAAAATCTCATTGGCCAGTAAATTTGTACCCCCTTGTTTAACCGGTTTTTCTGCTATATATACTGAGGCATGGGCCCATCCCTGTCAGTGCGGGAAATTTAACCTACATATTACCAGCTGCCCGTTGTCACCACTTGAAAGGTAATTTTCTTAGTCTATCAAATTTTTGTATTTTTTTTATTAAGTCCAATTTATAATCTCAAGTATTTTTCATATTTTGAGAGAAAGGTATTTTAAACTATGAAATTGACGTTTTTGGGCTTAGTAAACTTAAATTTTCTTATTTTTGAAGTGAATAGGAAATAAAAGTATTTTGTCTCAGTGTCTATGTGTATTATGATATTGTATATATGTTTTTGTATTTGTAGATCTGCCATTGCTTTTTCATTCCAAATAAATTTATTACTGAACCTGCGTTCTTCATCTCCGCTTGGTTACATTAAGGTCAAAGTCAAAAATTCAAAGTTGCTGATATCCAATGAAAGGACTTGCCACAAAGAATACATATGTAAAATATAAAAGTCCTAGTATCTACCGTTCAAAAGTTGTGACCAAAGTTAAAGTATTTTTAAAAAGTAGTTAAAACTCCAAGGTCAAGGTCAAAGGGTAAAAGTTATTGGTATCCAATGAAAGGTCTTCTCAAAAGGATCACATATGTGAAGTACAAAAGCCCTAGTCCTCACCGTTCAAAAGTTATGGTCAAGGTTAAAGTTTTTTCATAAGTACATAAATCTCCAAGGTCAAGGTCAAAAGGTCAAGGTTGTTGGTATCCAATGAAATGCCTTGCCACAAGGAATACATATGTGAAATATAAAAGTCCTAGTATCTACTGTTTAAAAGTTGTAACCAAGGTTAAAGTTTTTAAAATGTAATTAAAACTCCAAGGTCAAGGTCAAAGGGCAAAAGTTACTGGTATCCAATGAAAGGTCTTCTCACAAGAATTACAAATGTGAAGTACAAAAGCCTTCGTCCTCACCGTTCAAAAGTTATGGTCAAGGTTAAAGTTTTTTCATAAGTACGTAAATCTCCAAAATCAAGGTCAAAAGGTCAAGGTTGTTGTTATCCAATGAAAGGTTTTGCCACAAACAATGCATATGTGAAATTTGAAAGTCCTAGTACTTCAAAAGTTAAGGCCAAAGTAAAAGTTTGGAATTTTTGTGTAAAAGTGGGTCAAACTCCAAGTTCAAGGTCAAAAGGTCAAATTTGGTGGTACCCAAAGAAAGGTCTTGTCACAAGGAATACACATGTGAAATATGAAAGTCATAGCTCCACTAAATCAAAAGTTATGGGCAAGGTTAAAGTTTTTTTGACGGACAGGCTGACGGACAGACAGACAGATGAATGAGATTTAATGTCCCCTCGCTTTCGCGAAAGCGGGGGACAATAATATTTGGATAGCCACCGTCTCGTGTAACAAGTCCCATTTAAGGTAAGTCACTCGTCAGCTTTTTAGAAAAGTTCACGCAGAACCTCTTACTTAAAAAATATTTATTAAAATTCAATTTTTATAAAATATTTATATTCAACAATGTAAATTTTTTAACATTCATGGAAAAAACTGCTTAAAAATCTACAAAGAAGCAAGATTTATGAGGGACTATTTCTTGTGGTGGAAGGATATTCAGCAGAAATTTCAGCAAATCTGCACATTTATTAAATTTAATGTCTTGAAACTTTAGTCTCACATACCTTTACTCGGAGAATATTTTCCGTTGTGATTTTGCAGGAATATTTAATATAGGTCTTAATTTATATTTTTAGAACAAGTTTTACACCTTCCCTCAACAAACTTTGCCAAGAAATGAAGATATATTAAAGAAGTCAAAATAAAATTTACACCATTTTTTGCCTGAAAATCACATATTTTGACCAATATTTCAAAATTAACATCACTGACCCCAACTTTTTCTTTCATTATTTTAAACTACTTGATACTTGTGACTGATCAGCACTTAACTCCTAAAAAGCTTGATATAAGAAAATATTTGATAGCCTATTTAGTTTTTTAATACCCCAAATATGTTATTTTTTAGTGCAAAAAGGTCACAATAATAAACGCGCATTAATTTGCAAGATTTGTTCAATGATAAATATTATTTAAACTATTTTATGTAAAATAAGATTAAATTTATTAACGTAGTTACATCTGATATATTAAAATTAGAGATAAAGTAATAAATCAAAGAGTTAAAATTTAAGTGCAAAAAGGTCAACTTAATTGAACCATAGATCAGTAAGATGCACACTGACCCCCTATTTTCTCTGCGATTTTGAGTGATACTATATGAGTACTTATCCAAAATATACTTCCCAAAAATTCCTTGATATAACAAATTTGAGGAGTGACTTACCTTAACCAGTTTGTTATTGATTTCATAATTAATTTTTACCTGCTGGTACAAAGAAATCGCCGCTAATTTCTGTCCAGCCGAACCTTAGTTCTTGATGGGGAAGCACAGCAGTCTTTATTCTGTGAACTCTGCCTTTAAATTAACAAAATAAAACAATAACTAAACTATATTTATTTTTGTGAATAAACCGTATTAAACAAATTGGGATGTACCGGTACAAAATCTATAGATATAATTTGGTTGTTGAAATGGCCTTGCAAGCCAAATAATCTATGATCTATCATTGAGTCGTTTTTGACACACTAGTCTCATACATTTTTTAGCTCACCTGAGCCGAAGGCTCAAGTGAGCTTTTCTGATCACATTTTGTCCGTCGTCCGTCCGTCTGTCTGTCCATCCGTCCGTCTGTAAACTTTTCACATTTTCGACTTCTTCTCAAGAACCAATGGGCCGATTTTAACTAAACTTGGTACAAAACATCCTTGGGTAAAGGGGAGTTTAAATTGTTAAAAAGAAGGGCTAAGTCCCCTTACAAGGGGAGATAATCAAGAAAAGACAAAAATAGGAGGGATCACTAAAAAATCTTCTTCTCAAGAACCACTGGGCCAGGAAAGCTGAAACTAATAGGGAAGCATCCTTGGGTAGTGTAGATATTAAACTGCTAAAATCATGACCCCCGGGGGCGGGGCCACAATAGGGAATCCAAATTTTACATAGAAATAGATTGAACAAATCGTTAAATATCTTCTTCACAAGAACCACTGGGCCAGGAAAGCTGAAACTTATATGGAAGCATCCTTGGGTAGTGCAAATATTAAATTGTTAAAATCATGACCGCTGGGGTAGGGCGGGGCCACAATAGGGAATTCCAAGTTTTACATATTTAAGGAATGACTTTAATTCTTGGCCATATTATCGAGTATAATCTGGTTTGGGTCAGTTTACGCTTTATAATCCGCGAAGCGGATTATAAAAAAGCGTAAACTGACCCAAACCAGATTATACTCGATAATATGGCCAAGAATTAAAGTCATTCCTTATAATTTAATTTTAAAATAATTAAACAACTTTTGATGTAAAATTGTGTTGCTTTTTATAAGTTCAAATTTACCGCGCAATAATACAACCGTAGTAACGGAAGTGATTTGAAGCGAGGGGAGGTAATGACTGATTCATAGATCTAGCAGCCATGATGTTTGTTTACATGAGGTAAGAACGAGTAATTGATTAAAGTTTAAGGTACATTTATTAAATCTGGAATTTTCCATGGATTCCGAGGACTGGAAATGAGGGGATTGCATGGATATGATGATTAAGCTGGTCGTCAAGGGGGTGTGTCCCCATACCAAACCAGATTATACAAAATGTTATGCGTTCCTTTTTGGTAATCAACCAATGAGAGGCGAGAATACAAATAAAATTAAATTATAAATATATAAAACAAATTTTTAAAAATCTTCTTCTCAAGAACCACTGGGCCTGGAAAGCTAAAACTTATGTGGAAGCATCCTGGGGTAGTTTAGATTCTAAAGTTTTAAAATCATAAAAGGGAAGGGGGTAGTGGGACATGATAGATATAGCAAGAGGGGGAATCTGGTAAGAACTGCATTACCCAAGTTACTCAGGTGAGCGATGTGGCCCATGGGCCTCTTGTTTATGCTTAAGATGACTACAGAATTTCTGTCTGTCATATCAACGTCCAGAACTCACGGTGAGTGTGACTGGTCAATAGGGAATACTTGCTCCTCCTTGGCATCTGATCCCACCTCTGGAATTTACTGCCTACTGTTTTAATTTCATGTTCAAATAATTGTAATACTTGTGCTTCTTTTAGTCTAATCTCGAAATCTTCAAGTTCTATGTTCGTAATCTTCAAGCATTTCATTGCACCCTTTTAAAACTTTATCCTATCTTTGGAATTTCAATTGGTCAATGTTTAATGTCCTGTTCACATAATTGTAGTATTTGTAGGTGTTTGAACTCGATCTTTCTTATTATCCTTATGTGTTTCAATCTCCCAAATGGACAAAATCTCTCCAAATCTGTGACCTGTACTTTTTTTCAATAAATTTTTTTTTTTGTTTTTTCCTGATGATTATCTTGGGCATTTTATTTTAAAGTATTGCATCATGCAGAAAATACTTCAGAAAAAATAAAATGAACTTATTTCTAAACACAAATATTTTTTTTTTAAATTTCAATGTAAAAAGGAATGTCTAAGACGCGTGTATAAATGATAATTTATTTCCTATTTGCTGCTCCATTGTAGAATCAATTTCTTTGTTTAAAGCCTTTTACCTTAATGATAAATCTTAACTTCGACATTAAAGACGAAAAACCTAGAGTTAACAAACAATATTCAAGCTCAAAATTCCATTTTAAGCAAAACAAATCAGGAGCAGAGCAAAAACAAACCGCTAAACCCATTTTAAGAAAAGTGTATTGTCTACAGATTTTTGCCCCGTGGGGATCCGGGTTAGAATAGGTTCTCAGTACCCCCTTGCTTGTCGTAAAAGGCGACTAAATGGGGCGGTCCTTCGGATGAGACCGTATAAACCGAGGCCCCGTGTCACAGTAGGTGTGGCACGATAAAGATCCCTCCCTGCTCAATGGCCCTGAGTGCCGAGCATAGGCCTAAATCTGCAGCCCTTCACCGGCAATGGTGACGTCTCCATATCAGTGAAATATTCTGGAAAGGGATGTTAAACAGTATACAATCAATCAATCTACAGATTTTTTGTTTGCCTAAAGCGTACATTGTGACCGGTCAACCTGTATATATTCTTATCCCTACATTTTACACGAGTCCACCTCTTGTGTTTTAAGAGGATTGCCTTAGCTGCTACCAATTTGTACTATATCAAATAAAGCTTGATTACTATTTGTTATTTCCGTCTTCAATAAAAGTGGTCTGTACAGCATGAAACAAGGAAATAGAACAATATTTGAATTCAAAGTCTATTTTATAATACAAATCGGGTGCAGAGCAAATACGGACTTTTAAAAAATCATTAGGGGTGGGATTAGTTACCACTGAGAAGTGAGCATCCTCTATTGACCGGTCAGTTTGTAAATAATAACTTACTCTCTTTGTATTTATGTTTTAGTTCTTGATCAATGTCTTGGATATTATTAATATTTGAAAGTAAATGTTTATCTTTAAAATTTGTAAATTCTAACATTCCAAATGTTGATTCTTTTTTCCATTCTAATTTACTTTACCAGTGACAATTTCATTTATATATTTTATAACTTTCTCTCTTATCAATGAATATTTCTAGAGAGCGTAGTCATTAAAGTTTAACTCATATTTACTAAGAACTACCAAGTTACCCCAGTAAGCTAATATGATAAATGTGCATGCTCTAAGATATTACCATGAGTATTAACAGCAGCCATGAGATCTACTTCTATAGTTTTCACATTGTTTGGTATATTTAGTAACTTAAAATACATCCTAGCGACATAGTTGTGCCCCGGAGGAACGTGGACGTTAGCCTGGGGTGCTGACCAGTAATGGTGTCTGAAAATAATAGGAAATCTAGTTAAACAAGGCAGCTACTGATAGAAAGTTTCATGTGATAAGGCTTTAAACGTTCTTGTTAAAAATCAGCATTTTGAATATATATCAGGAGTTGATCCTTACGTCACGGGTTCGAATCCCACTGTGGGACGTGGAGACCGGTCCTTCGGATGAGACCGTATAAACCGAGGTCTTTTGTCGCACTAGGTGCTGGCACGAAAAAGATCCCTTCCTGCTCAATGACCCTGAGAACCGAGTATAGGACAAAATTTGCAGCTCTACACCGGCAAGTGGAGGCGCCTCCATATGAGTGAAAATTCTCTGGAGGGACGTCAAACAATATACAGTACAATCAATCAATCAAAATCAACTCAATAAATTTCAGCTTGTTTTTCCAAACTATATAATTATATCAATCACAGAATCTTGGGACTTATGTCGAAATTGTCTAAACATAAGCATTTTTCACTTTTATTAATTTATGTCTTTGCGTCTCTTACTATTTAACACCAAGCATAGAAAACTAATTCATTTGATGCAAGCTAAAATTTCCCCTTAGTTAAATCTAAGACAATTCGTTCTAAATGAAAAGTTTCAAATTCGAAGATATATATAGGTAATGTCATTATAACACTTACTCTCTATTTCACCTTGTCCTACCTGTTTGTGACCTTGATTGATCTACTTCCGTGATGTACATCTGCTGTGTAGGACGTCATAGTGCAATCCGCGCAAACCCAGTTACCGCTAAAACTTGTACTCTCAAAGTCCGCATTATGAAGATATTCAGTTGCAGCATCCACGAGGCTGGCAACAAAGGCTAATTCAAGCAACAGAGGAATTGAGCGCATTTTGTAATATACCTGTACTACGAATTAGAAGTGTTCCAAATTTCACATTTCAGACCTTTTATCAGTCGATGGTCAAGATAGTTTGATAAGAAAAATTGCATATATTTGACGTATTTACCTTATAAATTTGTAATAAATATAATATATTTTTCACCTACTAGAAAAAATGCACAACTGTGTTTATTCATCTACGAGTTTTTCTGCAAATTTCGAAGAACTCAAAGAATAAAAAAAAATTTCATTCGCTACATTTTCTAATTATTAAAATAAACCTTTATTTTAACTCGACTTTTAGATATATCGACGACGTATTGTCAATAAACAATGACAATTACCATTTCCACGTCGATACGATATATCCCAATGAGCTTGAGATAAAAGATACCACAGAGACTGACACATCTGTTTCATACTTGGTTATTTTACCTGAAAAAGACACTAATGGTTTTCTAAAAACCAAGCTATATGATAAACGTGATGACTAACTTTTCTATCGTCAACTCCCCTTACTTATGCAGAAATATACCTTCATCACGTGCATACGGAGTATATATATCTCAGTTGATTCGATACGCAAGAGCATGCTCTACATATGAACAATTTCTAAAACGAGGTAAATTATTGACAAACAAGTTGATGAAACAAGAATATCAGCAGTCTCGTTTAAAGTCATCATTTTGTAAGTTCTATATTCAATACAATGACCCTATAAGCAAATACAATTAATCATTAGGTCAAATTCTGACTGACGTTTTTCAATCTAATTGTAAGTTCATTATTTACACATTGAATTGACGATGGATTTTCCCGTTATTTCCCGATCATGACAACGAGCACACAACAGGTGTGACCGTTCCTCAGGGGATGCTCACTCCTGCATGGCACCTGCTCTAATCTCTGATGTTTTGGAGGTCCGTGTTTGCTCTGCTCCTATTTAGTATTGTTTTGTGGACTTTTGACCTTGAATACTGTTCGTTATCTTTATATATTTCATCAATAATAACATCTGGGTTTGTTAAAAATTATACTAATTTGTTTTTTACTGAAAGTTCTTTGGGTTTTCTTATTTTTTTTTTACTTAAAGTCATTTGTAGATTAATCTTTATGATATGAGAGTTGACCAATCATAAGTGAATATGTATTTTCTTCTCAAAGCTCTCTTATGATGAACCTCAGAAGAAGATTAAGATTATATAATGGTTATCTAAAATCAGATCGCTGTTATCTTTCGTATGAGTATATATATATAAAACATCAAATACGCATTAAGTAAGTAGAACATTACCTACAAAATCATGGGACAGTCTGATACAAAATATGACTACCCTTTTTGTAATAGAAAAGATACCAAGATCGCGTGGGAGCCTGCAGCATTGGAATTTTTCTTCGGAGTCACTGGTAATGTCATCGCATTACTTCTCCTCTGGACCAACCGCCATTATCATCGATGGTTTTCTTTTTTTAAACTTCTTACTGGGCTAGTAATCACCGACTTTCTCGGAATAGTACTGGTTTACTCATTTGTGATGATAAGGTATGCATCAGATTTCACGTGGTGCTACCCGAAGCCGGTTTGTCAATTCACATCCTTCGTCTTCATCGACGCTCATTTATCAGCAGCTTTAATTATCTGTGCCATGTCTGTTGACCGGTTCATGCATTTGCGAAATTCGGTTATCTTCACAAACAGGAGCTATACATTTATACTCTTTGGAATATGGATCGTTGCTAGTCTGATTTCGTACTTACATTTAATTGGAGTTGGGGAAAGTAACATATATTATCCGGGTTCTTGGTGTTATTTCGATTTTGTACGCGATACTACAGGAAACCATGTCATGAGCTACCTGTATACCATAATTGCTTTCGTTATAATTATTGTAACCATTGCGATTAATGCTGTAACACTTTGTCGGATTTGTACAGACCCAGAACAAAGAGGAAAACTTATGGATGCCAATGAAGTTTCCGGATTCTATGATTTTCATGCAATGATTTTTATAACATCCGTTACCGTGTTGTTTGTCATCCTATGGACCCCTCTTGTTGTACGTATAATCTTTATTTTTATATAGAATATTTTGAAGTAATCACATTATAAAAATCTCTGCATTTTAAAAATTGATTTGATTTTGAATTTTGCTTCAGGTGGACATTTTCTTGCATGCTGTCAACATCAGAAACCAAAAGAACAATGAAACAGAACTATTGCTCCTGCGATTGGCCGTGTGTAATGCTATCATTGATCCCTGGATGTATATTGTCTTAAGAAAGGAATCACTCAGCAAAATAGCTGAGATTTTTTATCGCTGTAGGCGATCTAGAAAGTCTGTTAATATTAATGAAACAGACGCTCTTTTACCATAGGTACAATATCACTTGGCATTTGTAAACATATTTCTTTGTAAAGGATATTTTTACCGTAATCCGAACAAATTTTGAAATCATGTTTTTATGATATTTTATTCTCCCGTAATCTAAGATTCGGGGGTTTATAGCTTTTGCCCGGTCCGGCTGTCCGTCACCACTTGTGAGTGGGAGGGGCAATGACTTTCTATTTCACAGGTGTCTTCCTTTTGACATGAACTTTCTTTGGTTACCATAAAGTTTTACCTTTTGACCTTGCCTTTTTTTAATTGACATACTTTAACATAAAATTTCCAAACTATACGATTGACAATAAATTTTGAATAGTTGAATCTAGCTCCTTCATACTTCACAAGTATATTCATTGTGACAATACCTTTTAATAGGTAAAAAAAGCTTTTACCTTTTGAAATATTTAATTTTTTTTAAACCTTGCCCATAACTTTTGAACAGTTACTACTAGAGCTCTCATTTTTCACAGGTGTTAGACATGTTTTGTCCGCCATCACATATTTTATTTTCATCCGTCACGCCGCCTGTGTATTCCTGGTGACAAGAACTTCCTTTGGATACAATGATTTTGACCTTGGAGTTTGACATGTATTTGAGAAACTGCAAACCTCGCTAAAATCTGTCATTCAAGGTATTAGTGTTTCACAAATACATCGAATGCTTGTTTTAAAAGTCCTCTTCAATTTGTGACATTAATCGAAATTGATCAATGTAACTTAAAATCATTTTTTGTCACAAAGTTTACTTTTTGAAAAAAGTCACGTGACTGGGCGAAGGAAAGCAGTGACCTCCCTCGCTCCGTCTTTTTTGACAAATGTTTGCTGTTTTCAAAGACTTTTTGACTCCAGAATAGGGAATCCAAATCTTACATAGAAATAGATTGAACAAATCGTTAAATATCTTCTTCACAAGAACCACTGGGCCAGGAAAGCTGAAACTTATATGGAAGCATCCTTGGGTAGTGTAAATATTAAATTGTTAAAATCATGACCGCTGGGGTAGGGCGGGGCCACAATAGGGAATTCCAAGTTTTACATATAAATATATAAAACAAATCTTTAAAAATCTTCTTCTCAAGAACCACTGGGCCTGGAAAGCTAAAACTTATGTGGAAGCATCCTGGGGTAGTTTAGATTCTAAAGTTTTAAAATCATAAAAGGGAAGGGGGTAGTGGGACATGATAGATATAGCAAGAGGGGGAATCTGGTAAGAACTGCATTACCCAAGTTACTCAGGTGAGCGATGTGGCCCATGGGCCTCTTGTTTATGCTTAAGATGACTACAGAATTTCTGTCTGTCATATCAACGTCCAGAACTCACGGTGAGTGTGACTGGTCAATAGGGAATACTTGCTCCTCCTTGGCATCTGATCCCACCTCTGGAATTTACTGCCTACTGTTTTAATTTCATGTTCAAATAATTGTAATACTTGTGGTTTTTTTAGTTTAATCTCGAAATCTTCAAGTTCTATGTTCGTAATCTTCAAGCATTTCATTGCACCCTTTTAAAACTTTATCCTATTTTTGGAATTTCAATTGGTCAATGTTTAATGTCCTGTTCACATAATTGTAGCATTTGTAGGTGTTTGAACTCGATCTTTCTTATTATCCTTATGTGTTTCAATCTCCCAAATGGACAAAATCTCTCCAAATCTGTGACCTGTACTTTTTTTCAATAAAAAAAATCGTTTTTTCCTGATGATTATCTTGGGCATTTTATTTTAAAGTATTGCATCATGCAGAAAATACTTCAGAAAAAATAAAATGAACTTATTTCTAAACACAAATATTTTTTTTTTAAATTTCAATGTAAAAAGGAATGTCTAAGACGCGTGTATAAATGATAATTTATTTCCTATTTGCTGCTCCATTGTAGAATCAATTTCTTTGTTTAAAGCCTTTTACCTTAATGATAAATCTTAACTTCGACATTAAAGACGAAAAACCTAGAGTTAACAAACAATATTCAAGCTCAAAATTCCATTTTAAGCAAAACAAATCAGGAGCAGAGCAAAAACAAACCGCTAAACCCATTTTAAGAAAAGTGTATTGTCTACAGATTTTTGCCCCGTGGGGATCCGGGTTAGAATAGGTTCTCAGTACCCCCTTGCTTGTCGTAAAAGGCGACTAAATGGGGCGGTCCTTCGGATGAGACCGTATAAACCGAGGCCCCGTGTCACAGTAGGTGTGGCACGATAAAGATCCCTCCCTGCTCAATGGCCCTGAGTGCCGAGCATAGGCCTAAATCTGCAGCCCTTCACCGGCAATGGTGACGTCTCCATATCAGTGAAATATTCTGGAAAGGGATGTTAAACAGTATACAATCAATCAATCTACAGATTTTTTGTTTGCCTAAAGCGTACATTGTGACCGGTCAACCTGTATATATTCTTATCCCTACATTTTACACGAGTCCACCTCTTGTGTTTTAAGAGGATTGCCTTAGCTGCTACCAATTTGTACTATATCAAATAAAGCTTGATTACTATTTGTTATTTCCGTCTTCAATAAAAGTGGTCTGTACAGCATGAAACAAGGAAATAGAACAATATTTGAATTCAAAGTCTATTTTATAATACAAATCGGGTGCAGAGCAAATACGGACTTTTAAAAAATCATTAGGGGTGGGATTAGTTACCACTGAGGAGTGAGCATCCTCTATTGACCGGTCAGTTAAACAATAACTTACTCTCTTTGTATTTATGTTTTAGTTCTTGATCAATGTCTTGGATATTATTAATATTTGAAAGTAAATGTTTATCTTTAAAATTTGTAAATTTTAACATTCCAAATGTTGATTCTTTTTTCCATTCTAATTTACTTTACCAGTGACAATTTCATTTATATATTTTATAACTTTCTCTCTTATCATTGAATATTTCTAGAGAGCGTAGTCATTAAAGTTTAACTCATATTTACTAAGAACTACCAAGTTACCCCAGTAAGCTAATATGATAAATATGCATGCTCTAAGATATTACCATGAGTATTAACAGCAGCCATGAGATCTACTTCTATAGTTTTCACATTGTTTGGTATATTTAGTAACTTAAAATACATCCTAGCGACATAGTTGTGCCCCGGAGGAACGTGGACGTTAGCCTGGGGTGCTGACCAGTAATGGTGTCTGAAAATAATAGGAAATCTAGTTAAACAAGGCAGCTACTGATAGAAAGTTTCATGTGATAAGGCTTTAAACGTTCTTGTTAAAAATCAGCATTTTGAATATATATCAGGAGTTGATCCTTACGTCACGGGTTAGAATCCCACTGTGGGACGTGGAGACCGGTCCTTCGGATGAGACCGTATAAACCGAGGTCTTTTGTCGCACTAGGTGCTGGCACGAAAAAGATCCCTTCCTGCTCAATGACCCTGAGAACCGAGTATAGGACAAAATATGCAGCTATACACCGCCTCCATATGAGTGAAAATTCTCTGGAGGGACGTCAAACAATATACAGTACAATCAATCAATCAAAATCAACTCAATAAATTTCAGCTTGTTTTTCCAAACTATATAATTATATCAATCACAGAATTTCTGTTTTTATGGGACTTATTTTATATTCTTTTCAGAAATTGTTTAAACATAAGCATTGTGTTCACTTTTATTAATTTATGTCTTTGCACACATGTCTCTTTTATTTAAAATATCTTTTAACACCATTTGTGAGCATAGAAAACTAATTCATTTGATGCAAGCTAAAATTTCCCCTTAGTTAAATTTAAGACAATTTGTTCTAAATGAAAAGTTTCAAATGCGAAGATATATATAGGTAATGTCATTATAACACTTACTCTCTATTTCACCTTGTCCTACCTGTTTGTGACCTTGATTGATCTACTTCCGTGATGTACATCTGCTGTGTAGGACGTCATAGTGCAATCCGCGCAAACCCAGTTACCGCTAAAACTTGTACTCTCAAAGTCCGCATTATGAAGATATTCAGTTGCAGCATCCACGAGGCTGGCAACAAAGGCTAATTCAAGCAACAAAGGAATTGAGCGCATTTTGTAATATACCTGTACTACGAATTAGAAGTGTTCCAAATTTCACATTTCAGACCTTTTATCAGTCGATGGTCAAGATAGTTTGATAAGAAAAATTGCATATATTTGACGTATTTACCTTATAAATTTGTAATAAATATAATATATTTTTCACCTACTAGAAAAAATGCACAACTGTGTTTATTCATCTACGAGTTTTTCTGCAAATTTCGAAGAACTCAAAGAATAAAAAAAATTTCCATTCGCTACATTTGTCTAATTATTAAAATAAACCTTTATTTTAACTCGACTTTTAGATATATCGACGACGTATTGTCAATAAACAATGATAATTACCATTCCTACGTCGATACGATATATCCCAATGAGCTTGAGATAAAAGATACCACAGAGTCTGACACATCTCTTTCATACTTGGTTATTTTACCTGAAAAAGACACTAATGGTTTTCTAACAACCAAGCTATATGATAAACGTGATGACTAACTTTTCTATCGACAACTCCCCTTACTTATGCAGAAATATACCTTCATCACCTGCATACGGAGTATATATATCTCAGTTGATTCGATACGCAAGAGCATGCTCTACATATGAACAATTTCTAAAACGAGGTAAATTATTGACAAACAAGTTGATGAAACAAGAATATCAGCAGTCTCGTTTAAAGTCATCATTTTGTAAGTTCTATATTCAATACAATGACCCTATAAGCAAATACAATTAATCATTAGGTCAAATTCTGACTGACGTTTTTCAATCTAATTGTAAGTTCATTATTTACACATTGAATTGACGATGGATTTTCCCGTTATTTCCCGATCATGACAACGAGCACACAACAGGTGTGACCGTTCCTCAGGGGATGCTCACTCCTGCATGGCACCTGCTCTAATCTCTGATGTTTTGGAGGTCCGTGTTTGCTCTGCTCCTATTTAGTATTGTTTTGTGGACTTTTGACCTTGAATACTGTTCGTTATCTTTATATATTTCATCAATAATAACATCTGGGTTTGTTAAAAATTATACTAATTTGTTTTTTACTGAAAGTTCTTTGGGTTTTCTTTTTTTTTTTTTACTTAAAGTCGTTTGTAGATTAATCTTTATGATATGAGAGTTAACCAATCATAAGTGAATATGTATTTTCTTCTCAAAGCTCTCTTATGATGAACCTCAGAAGAAGATTAAGATTATATAATGGTTATCTAAAATCAGATCGCTGTTATCTTTCGTATGAGTATATATATAAAACATCAAATACGCATTAAGTAAGTAGAACATTACCTACAAAATCATGGGACAGTCTGATACAAAATATGACTACCCTTTTTGTAATAGAAAAGATACCAAGATCGCGTGGGAGCCTGCAGCATTGGAATTTTTCTTCGGAGTCACTGGTAATGTTATCGCATTACTTCTCCTCTGGACCAACCGCCATTATCATCGATGGTTTTCTTTTTTTAAACTTCTTACTGGGCTAGTAATCACCGACTTTCTCGGAATAGTACTGGTTTACTCATTTGTGATGATAAGGTATGCATCAGATTTCACGTGGTGCTACCCGAAGCCGGTTTGTCAATTCACATCCTTCGTCTTCATCGACGCTCATTTATCAGCAGCTTTAATTATCTGTGCCATGTCTGTTGACCGGTTCATGCATTTGCGAAATTCGGTTATCTTCACAAGCAGGAGCTATACATTCATACTCTTTGGAATATGGATCGTTGCTAGTCTGATTTCGTACTTACATTTAATTGGAGTTGGGGAAAGTAACATATATTATCCGGGTTCTTGGTGTTATTTCGATTTTGTACGCGATACTACAGGAAACCATGTCATGAGCTACCTGTATACCATAATTGCTTTCGTTATAATTATTGTAACCATTGCGATTAATGCTGTAACACTTTGTCGGATTTGTACAGACCCAGAACAAAGAGGAAAACTTATGGATGCCAATGAAGTTTCCGGATTCTATGATTTTCATGCAATGATTTTTATAACATCCGTTACCGTGTTGTTTGTCATCCTATGGACCCCTCTTGTTGTACGTATAATCTTTATTTTTATATAGAATATTTTGAAGTAATCACATTATAAAAATCTCTGCATTTTAAAAATTGATTTGATTTTGAATTTTGCTTCAGGTGGACATTTTCTTGCATGCTGTCAACATCAGAAACCAAAAGAACAATGAAACAGAACTATTGCTCCTGCGATTGGCCGTGTGTAATGCTATCATTGATCCCTGGATGTATATTGTCTTAAGAAAGGAATCACTCAGCAAAATAGCTGAGATTTTTTATCGCTGTAGGCGATCTAGAAAGTCTGTTAATATTAATGAAACAGACGCTCTTTTACCATAGGTACAATATCACTTGGCATTTGTAAACATATTTCTTTGTAAAGGATATTTTTACCGTAATCCGAACAAATTTTGAAATCATGTTTTTATGATGTTTTATTCTCCCGTAATCTAAGATTCGGGGGTTTATAGCTTTTGCCCGGTCCGGCTGTCCGTCACCACTTGTGAGTGGGAGGGGCAATGACTTTCTATTTCACAGGTGTCTTCCTTTTGACATGAACTTTCTTTGGTTACCATAAAGTTTTACCTTTTGACCTTGCCTTTTTTTAATTGACATACTTTAACATAAAATTTCCAAACTATACGATTGACAATAAATTTTGAATAGTTGAATCTAGCTCCTTCATACTTCACAAGTATATTCATTGTGACAATACCTTTTAATAGGTAAAAAAAGCTTTTACCTTTTGAAATATTTAATTTTTTTTTAAACCTTGCCCATAACTTTTGAACAGTTACTAACTAGAGCTCTCATTTTTCACAGGTGTTAGACATGTTTTGTCCGCCATCACATATTTTATTTTCATCCGTCACGCCGCCTGTGTATTCCTGGTGACAAGAACTTCCTTTGGATACAATGATTTTGACCTTGGAGTTTGACATGTATTTGAGAAACTGCAAACCTCGCTAAAATCTGTCATTCAAGGTATTAGTGTTTCACAAATACATCGAATGCTTGTTTTAAAAGTCCTCTTCAATTTGTGACATTAATCGAAATTGATCAATGTAACTTAAAATCATTTTTTGTCACAAAGTTTACTTTTTGAAAAAAGTCACGTGACTGGGCGAAGGAA